GAGGGTTGCGATCCGTTGCTGGACACGAAAAAAAAAAGACAAAAAGGAAAAAAAAAAAAAAGAATATAAACAGTTTCTGCTTCACTTGGTTATGACATTAGTTTGGCCTGTACCTAATATTTGGGTAAACTTTCTTTTCACATATATTACAACTGTTTATCTTGAACGTACCTCTCTGTCTCTTTGTCTGCCTCTTATATCATGGCAGTGATTTGTTAGAGCACAGGGTGAATAGAGGATTTCATGCTTTCTTCTTTACTTAGAGATTAGTGGGTACAGAGGAGACTGAGAACGTTCTCTGTATATCTGCTCTAGGAAAATTGGCTCCAGAAAAAGGCAGGAGTAGACTAGGGGACAGTTATTTAAGCAGAAAGACTTTTTCCATAATGACACAGTAAAAATATAAAAAGTACTGGGATCTCTCACTGCTGATATTAACTTAGTCTGTCTTGAAATAATTCCTATGTTTAATAAAAGAACTTACAAAAAAAGAGGCTTAAAAATCAGATTTGAAACTAATATCTTGAATAGTACAATTAAATAGCTTTTAAGCATTTTGTAATGACTATTAATTTTAGTCAAATTTAGAGTGAATTGTCTGCTGTAGAGAACTAGGTTAAATACAGTTAAAGGTGACTGTTTTCTTTACTTTTTTTCCTTTCTCTAAAAAATGTAGGCATTTCAGTAGAACCATGGAGGAACTGGTTCATGATCTTGTCTCAGCATTGGAAGAGAGCTCAGAGCAAGCTCGAGGTGGATTTGCTGAAACAGGAGACCATTCTCGAAGTATATCTTGCCCTCTCAAACGCCAGGCAAGGAAAAGGAGAGGGAGAAAACGGAGGTCATATAATGTTCATCACCCATGGGAGACTGGTCACTGCTTAAGTGAAGGCTCTGATTCAAGTTTAGAAGAACCAAGCAAGGACTATAGAGAGAATCACAATAATAATAAAAAGGATCATAGTGACTCTGATGACCAAATGTTAGTGGCGAAGCGCAGGCCGTCATCAAACTTAAATAATAATGTTCGAGGGAAAAGACCTCTATGGCATGAGTCTGATTTTGCTGTGGACAACCTTGGGAACAGAACTTTACGCAGGAGGAGAAAGGTAAAACGCATGGCAGTAGATGTTCCGCAGGACATCTCCAACAAACGGACAATGACCCAGCTGCCCGAAGGTTGTAGAGATCAGGACATGGACAATGACAGAGCTTACCAATGTCAAGAATTTACTAAGAATAAAATCAAAAAGAGGAAATTGAAAATAATTAGACAAGGACCAAAAATCCAAGATGAAGGAGTAGTTTTAGATAGTGAGGAAATAAGCCAGACCAGTAAGGACAAAATGGAATATGAAGAGCAAAAAGTCTCAGATGAGCTCATGAGTGAAAGGTGACTTTTATATTCTCTAAATATAAAAACATTTGTTTCCAGTGTTTGTGGTTGAAAATGTGTTTTATATTTTAATTAATTCTATTTTAAAATAATTATAAATTGTAATAATGGTAGTGATATTACTATTTAACTATGATTATATTTTCTTATAACATGATGTTTAGCACAAAGCAAAATTGCTTATTCAATTTACAGTCTTTTCATTCTGTTTTAATGACTTAATTTTCAGCTACAAAGAGAAAAGGAAGTGGATTTTCAGTGGCAAAGAATGTGCTTTTGAATAACAGCACATTTGTAACTCTTAGAATTGGGTATATAATTATTTATTTGTTTAATTATAGAGCTTTAGCCTTTGTTGCTTTTTAGAGTATCACGAAAAGTTGACTCTACTTCGACATGTGTATGACTTGATATTTTAAAAAGTCTATACGGGCCGGCCCGGTGGCGCACTGGATAAGTGCGCCGCTTGGGAAGCGCGGCGGCACTC